GGCGGCGGGCTCTGCGGGCGTGGGCCCTGTCCAATTCAGGGGGGCGCGTAGTCAAGCAACCTGATGGTGAAGGCGCTCGCCGCGGCAGGCCTCGGTGGCCTCAGCGCCCCCGCCAGCCCCCATCTGAATAAACTGAAGAACATGCTCCTGCGCTCTAGCCTGCTCCTGGCCAATTCCCCGCGAGGTGCGCCCGCCGAGGGGTCTGGCCATCGCGGGCCGATCTCGCGGAAGCACCAATAGGCCCTGCACCGTGGGCCGAGACATGGGCGGTCGCTCGGCTGCGCCTGCCTCGGAGAGGGGCCTTGGGGCGCTCGGAGAGCTGCGCCCCTGCCACCCCCCGGCCAACGCGCCATCCCTCGTGGCAGACGGATCCCGCCCACGCTGTCCCGCCAGCAGCGGCGCGCTTTCCGCTCCTCGCGCCGACAGCAGCCCTAATGCAAGGGCCCGCGGCACTCGGAGGGCCCGCGGGCCGCGCGACTGCCGCGTCCACCGCCTCCACGCCAGGTGCCCGAACTGCAGCTGGCCGCGGATGCGCGGTAAGCGAGGTCTGGCTGGGCATTCCATTGCATCTTTGGGCAGTCACCGGGAGCGCGGGAAGCGAAATCTGGATGAGGCATTCCTTCACTCGGACTTTGCGCCCTAACGCCAGCCGAAGTCGCCCTCCGACGCGCCGATGTCCCCAGCCCAGGGGAGACACGTGCCTGGCCATCTGAGGAAACAAACCGCCGACGCCCTCCGACCTGCCGTTGCCCGCAGCCCACGGCAGGCACATCCTTGGCCATCTGGGGAGATAGCCGACGGCGCCACTCGATAAGGCGCTGTCCCCAGCCCAGGGGAAGCACATCCCTGGCCATCTGGGGAGGTAGTCGTAGACGCCCCCCGACCTGCCGCTGTCCCCAGCCCAGGGGAGACGAGTCCCTGGCCATCCGGGGCAGTAGCTGTCGTCGCCCTCCGACCTGCCGTTGTCACAAGCCCAGGGGAGACACATTCCTGGCCATCTGGGGAGGTAGCCGACGGCGCCACTCGATAAGGCGCTGTCCCCAGCCCAGGGGAAGCACATCCCTGGCCACCTGGGGAAGTAACCTCATGCCCGTGAGAATAAACACTGGGGGATAATAAAGTTCGGGGTTCAGGGAGAGAGAATAAAAGTAGCCCAGCAGACCTCAGCATAATCTCGAAGTAAGAGATGATCAAGAGGAGACCAAGCCGAGCACGTTTTGAGACATCCTTGGCGTTTAGTTTTCATAGGAATATCCTCAACAATGGCTTATCTCCCATGACAATTGTTTGTTTGTAAGTGCTCGTGTAGGGTAGCTCATGTGCCTCAATTTCCATGGATAATCAACCCCAGAAATAAAAAAGTTCAGGCGAGCGTGGGGACAGAGAGAAATATAAACGAAGAAGGATACAGTATAATAATAATAAGAAAAAAGAAGAAGATGATAATCAGAAGAGGGCGAAGAAAGGAAAAATCCAAAGTTCCAATTCTATCAATGTTAATTTACAAACGCTTTATGAACATTGTTTTTGTAAGTGCTCGTGCAGGGTAGCTCATGTGCTTCATTTTCCATGGATAATCAACCCCAGGGATAAAATAAGTTCAGGCGAGCGTGAGGACAAATAGAAATATAAAAGAAGAAGCGGGAATTATAATAATAATAAAAACATTGCCCGTTTCGTTTGAGTCTGCCTCCCATAATTACTGGTTTCGCTTGACACATCCTGAAAAAGTGTGATCGCTTCGCTTGATGTTGCTATATCAACATCGCTTGATGTTGCTATCTCAACATAGCGTTTCGAGGTGATAATGAAGTTCGGCCTCAGCGCTCGCCGTCCATCTAATAATGAATAGGGCGACGATAATCAACTCTAAACTCTGAAGGGGGGGTCCCTTTATTATCATCGGCATGCGGTTATTCGTCGCCGCCCTCCGACATGGCACTGTCCCCAGCCCAGATGAGACAAATCCCTGGCCATCTGGGGAAGTAGGTGTCGTCGCCCTCCGACCTGCCGTTGTCACCAGCCCAGGGGAGACGCATTCCTGGCCATCTGGGGAGGTCGCTGACGGCGCCACTCGATTCGCAGCTGTCCCTAGCCCAGGGGAGACACATCCCTGGCAATCTGGAGGGGTGGACGTCGACGCCATCCGACATTCCGTTGCCCCTAGCATAGGGGAGACACATTCCTGGCCATCTGGGGAGATACAAGGCGGCGCTGGGGAGGAGGAAGCCCACGCAACCCCGCCCCAACGGGCAGAACCAGCACGTGCCGGAGCCGTCGAAAGCTCCGTAGGCCCTCCTCCAAGGGCGGGGGCGGCACGGCTATTGGTTGGTCTTGGCCTTCTTCTGGTACGAGCCAAGCGCGCCGCCCAGCCGCTTGATGGCGGCGCGGAGCTGGGTCTCGTCGGTCAGGGGGTCCCCGCCGAAGGAATAAATGCTGAAGGTCATGCAAATCATCGGCGCCGCCAGGCTGTGGAGGGGCTGCAGCGGCCTCGCGAAGCTCTGGAGGCTGCCTTTGGGGCTGCGGCGCTCCGCCGTGGGCAGCTTCGCCAGAGGCGGCAGCGCTGCCCGCGGCACGCTCGGCGGCGGTGCGCTCGGCGGCAGCCCGCTGCAGCCTGCGCAGCTCCTCGAAGTTGGCGGAGACGCTCTTGGCCAGGTTCCCGCCGGCACCAAGCCCAGCGAGGAGCTCGCCGAGGGCGTCGACGTCCATGTCGATGCACGGGATCGCTGCTCGGAGCGAGTGGACTCCCTGCGCAGGATGAGGCGCCTGCGCGGCCGCAGTGGCCCTCGCAGCCTCGACCTCCAGGAGCTCCTTGGATGTCGCTGCCACTGCTTCCTCGGCCTCCACGATCTGCTGCTGAAGCGCCGCCAGCTTCTCCGTGAAATTGGTTGGCGGCGGCCTGCTGGCGCTCCCGCTTTCTTCTCGAGCGTGGAGCGCCGATTGGTGACGCGGTGCAGCTTCGTCCCGATGGGCCTGTCGGCCAGCACCTTCGCTCGGAGCGCGGCCTGCTGCTGGAGCTTGTCATGCTTGGCTTTAACCAGCACGGCGTCCGTAGGATGCCCGATGGCCTGGATCGCCGATGCACGCTCGGCAATCGCTGCCTGGGCATCTGGTTCGGCCTCCTCGTCGGTTTCCATGGCGTCGGGCCCTTGCCCCTGCTTGTTGGCCAGCAGCTCCTGGAACCTGGCATTCGCGATTTTGTTCCTGGAGGGCGACCTTGGAACGCTCGGCCTCTGCTGCTGCCTTGCGTTCGTTGCCGATCTTCTAGGCGGAGACCGAAGGGCGCTATCTGCGGGCTGCTCCCTCGGGCCGAATAAGATGAGGCCCTTGGGCTGCACGCAGGACCCGCACTCCGTCTTGTCTGAATGGTTCCACCAACGCTCACCCGTCCTTGGGTTGGTACACCACTTGCATAGCCACTGCTGCGCCTGCTGCAAGAGCTCCTGCTGGCGGCCATTGGCTGCCATGAGTGCGGTCTTGCCGCGCACTTGGATGGCCGACTCGCCGCACTCGTCGTTGAACAAAATTGGCTCGCGCCCACGTGCCGTTCCGAAGTACGTGAAACAAAAAACGAGCTTCACTCGTCCTAGCCCGAGCCGAAACGGCGGAGGAGGAGGAGGAGGAGGAGAAGGAGGAGAAGGAAGAGGAGGAGGAGGAGGACGAGAAGGTGCTTCTTGGCATGGGCCTCTCACTGTAACCTCTGCGCGCCGGCGGTGCAGCGCGCAGAGGGGCGAGAGCGGGGACCACGCGAGGCCGCAGGCCTGGCCGAAAAAAACGAGCGTCCCCCCCCCCAAAAAAACCACTACAGTCGGGGCATTGACCTAAGGAGCCCTAAATAAGGAACGAGGCCCCTACTTTCCATAAGTTGAACTTCGATGTCGTATCGAAAGCCTAAGGAAAATCAAAGGCAAGCTGCGAAAAAAAGGAACACGGAGCCCCTCCCCAACGAAAAGGGTTCCTTCTTCAGGGCCCGGACTGTACGGCCTCCCCCGTGCGGTTTCCATCGGTCGCGTTCAAGACATGTCATCTCGGCCTGGCCGAAAAGCTAGGCGCGCCCCCCCCCAAAAAATATAAACACCACGGCCTCCCCCACCGTGCGGTTTTTGCCATCGATCGCACTCGGGACATGTCATCTCGGTGGTTCAGAGATGGGGTCGTGAGGGATGGGGTCCTCAGGAGGGGAAGGGATCCAAGGGGGTGGACTTTCTGTGTCTGAAGCCTCTTAAACGGGGTCGGAGTATATGGATGGGGTCGGAGGATCGTGCCGCACCGCAAATACGTCGAGGATGCATCGGCAATGCACCGTCGACGCACCGTCGATGTGGGCGATGCATCGGCGACGTCGACGTGAAGCAAATCGGGCTCCACATCGAACCGCATCGGCGATGCATTGGCGATGCGGAGCGATCCTCCGTCCCCATCTACTCCGACTTAATTTAGGAGGCCTAGATACGGATGGGAAGGGATCCACGGTTGGATTTATATTGCTTCAGGCACCTCCGCCTATGGACGCCACCCCTCAGGACCCCAGCTTTGAACCAAAAATCATCTCTTGGGGGCACCTTTCACTTCCGCTGGATTCGGGCGGCCTTCCGCTGGCTTCCGCCGCCTACTACCAGAGCAGAGATGCCCACTCCTTCGATCCCCCGAAAGCGAGGCTCTCTCTGGAGCGCCCCCTGCTGCGCCCCCCAGATGGGGACATGTGGTGTTCCCTTCGGTTTTCGCGGGGCCTATTCCCAAGTGGGAGGGGGGAGGGGGCTGAGATACTCGGAGCGGTGCGAGTTGAGGCATCGGCAACTCAAAGACGGTCCTCGGACACCTCCCGGAGTCCAAACGCACCAGTTTTCCTAGCTGTGTCTGGCCGTGGCGACAAGGAAGCCCCCCGAAGACCAACTGCCATTGTCTCAGTTCGCCCTCCCCTGAGATACCATGGCCCGGTGGGGGTGGGAACCGGCTGTGCGGCACTGATCGGTGCCGATGTGACTTTCTCCGCTGAGAACCGCCAGCCCGGGAACACCTCGCAGGCCTCCCCGGGAGGCTCTCCATCGGCCCCCGCAGCCTCGAGTGGGCCCGGCTCCGGTGGCGCAGTGGCCGCCCTCGCCTCCGCCTCCGCCTCCGGCGGGCTCGCGGCCGCCCTCGGCTCGCTCACGGCCTCGGGCGGCGACGGGGGCGGCGGCGCCCGACACGGAGCAAGGGCCACCGAGATTGGCAGTCGGGAGGAAAGCGATACAGATGCAGCTGCCCCTTGCTCGTCGCCACGACTGCACTCGCCTCGCACACGCGGTCAGATCGCATTCCAGGAGAGGTCCAAACATACATTGGCGATCCATAAATTTGGCGCGCGGTCGCCAAATCCGTGGATCGGGGGAGGCGCCCTCGGCAAAGTGCGACCGGTGCCGCCTCGCTCGGCCACGGAAGCCCGCGACGTCCCATGGAAACGGGCCCCGTCGCTAATCCACGCCCCCTTGATCCATGATTGCGATCGCCTGGAAGCAGCACCGGCATCGGCACCACTGCAGGAGAGCCCAGAATCGAATCGACAAGTCGGATCGGCGATCGAAATGGCTCGGATCGGCGGAAATCGGCAGCCGAGTCGGGAAAAGTCGAATCGGCGGAAATCGGCAGCCTAGTAGGCCTTCGTAAGGAAATCTGAGCCAAACTCGGAATCCGAAATCGGATCGAATCGGAATCGGAAATCATCGAAATCGAATCGAATCGACTCGGAGGAATCGAAATCAGCCCTGCCACTGTCCCTCCAGGCGCGCCCGAGATGGGGTCGGCAACGGTGGGCACGAGACCCAACGGCACGGGCTGCCGAGCACCGACGGCGGCCGCCGGTGGGCAGGCGAGCCCCTCTCTCAGAGGGACATCGCCCGCGGCAGCGCCAACCACAAAAAGCCTCGTCCAGGATGGAGGAGGAGGGGGAGGAGGAGGAGGAGGAGGAGGAGGAGGAAGAGGAGGAGGAGGAGGAGGAGGAGGAGGAGGAAGAAGTGGAGGATAGCAACAGGCCCCGTCCAGGATGGGCAGCAGACTGCCGTTGGCCCTCGTCCCCGCTCTTCCCGCGCACCCTTCGCAGGCCCGCGGCAGCGCCAACCACAGCAGGCCCCGTCCGGAAGGGACAGGGACTGCCGTTGGCCTGGCAGCCTCCGAGAGGGGCGGACCGCGAAGAGGCAGGGTTCTGACATCCAAGGGGAGGAGGAGGAGGAGGAGGAGGAGGAGGAGGAGGAGGAGGAGGAGGAGGAGGAGGAGGAGGAGGCGGAGGAGGCGGAGGAGGCGGAGGAGGAGGAGGAGGAGGAGGAGGAGGAGGAGGAGGCGGAGGCGGAGGAGGTGGACCAGGGCAGACCCAAGGCTCATCAACGGTATCCAGCGAGAGCCCCGATGTGCATTTCCTCTGGTGTCTTGTCCGCGGCTGCTGCGGGTGCTGGCGGGTGTACTTGCGCTGGTGAAGGGGTGTCGGCCGTTGCTCCTGCTCCTGCTCCTCCCTGGGGCTGCTGCTTCCTCGTCGTGGTGCGGCTTCTGCTCGCGCTGCTGCTCCTCATCCTCCTCGTTCCCTGGGGCTGCTGCTTCCTCGTCGTGGTGCGGCTTCTGCTCCCGCTGCTGCTCCTCATCCTCCTCGTGCACGCTCTACTTCGCCTCCTGCTGGTGCTGCTGCCGTTGCTGATGTCCCCCCTCGTGTGGCCCAGCAGTGGAAGTGCAAGCTTCGCAAATGGAGACGATTCGGAACCGCTGCTTGTTCAATAAATTTTGCTATCTCAACCTCTCCACGATTGTCCGCAACACGTGTTCAACGTCAATGCTGCTTTCGGACCAGGCGCTCACTGAGCCAGATCAGGTCGAACAAACTCAGATTCGAGTCCGAATTGGCAGCGACATGAATCGGACTATACATCGAAACTTGTGTCCTCACACGAAGCTCTCCATGAGGGGGGGCGCGAAGGGTACGGATAGGAAGGGGAACTGAGCACGGATAGGAAGGGGAACTGAGCACCTAGAGCGGAAATCGGGGAGCGGTCCTCGACCACGTAGCAGCGTATGCACACTGCAAACGTGACGCGATGTCCCATAGCCCGCGTCGGCCCCTTTCCTTCGAGGGCCCCAGATGCGGCGACTACCCGCTGCTGCCACAGCATTCCCTGTCGCAGACTGAGACACATCCGCGTCCTCATCCTTTTTCGCGTTTCTCTCCTCCGTCTCCTCCTCCTCCTCCTGCTCTTCCTCCTCGTCCCCCTCCTCATTCCCATCATCATTCCTCTCCCCCTTCCTCCTTGTTCTCCTCGTTCTCCATATTCTCCTTGCCCCCCCTGCCCCTCCCCCCTCGTTCATCCCCTTGTCTTCTCACTTGCGGAATGGGCCCGCCAGACAAGACCACCAGAAGGGTGAAGCGTCTGCTCGCACGAGCGATGGCGGCAGCTGCTGCTCAATTCACGCGCACGACAAGCGAGCCATCGCTACTTGCCAACCGGCTGGCCCGTCGCGGGCGAGGAGGGTTCTCCTCCTCCTCCTCCTGCGTCTGCTCCTCCTGGCTGCCTGGCTCACTCAACGCCGCAGGCGTGCAGAGTGGGCCCGGCGGGGGGGCCCAGTTGGCAGAGGCAATCGCCCCGACGCCCGTGGCGCGGCTGCTCGAGATCGACAAACCCAGCGCTCCCGATATTACCTCCCCGGGGATGATAAAGTTCGGGGGCCTGGCGGGGATAATCAACGATTGTCCTGGCGAAGGTGATGATGGTGATGATAACGACGGCGATGATGATGATGATGATGATGATGATGATGATGATGATGATGATGATGATGATGATGATGATGATGATGATGATTGGGATGCTGATGATTATGTTGATGATGCTGATGATGACGATGATGATGATGATGATGAGGATGCTCCTGGGCGCTCGTGTAGACTGACCTTGTAGATCTTGGCACAACACGGACTCGCGAGATCTCGAGTCTCGTGGCTACAACTTGTCTGCGCAAGAGAGGTCCTTGGCGCTCCCATGGCCCTGCCGCACGTTCGTGACTTGGAAAAACTGAAATGGTGAGAATCCCGTAGCCCTGCCACACACTCGTGATTGCGGAAGCGGAAATGGTGAAACAACCATTGCCATGCTCAGCGTTTTTGATGCTGTGCTAGTCAGCATAGGATGATTGCAACTTCGATTCGCAACTTCCCCCGGTGATCATCAAGTTCGGCCTCCGCGCCCCTCTCCACAATTAAATCCGATTGACAACGGGTAACAAAGAAATTCAGGGGAAAAAGGCGGGGTTTCATCATTATCCGGGGCACTGGGTTAAATCAGAGCCGCACCTTAACGCAGAGCTCCAAAACGTGATGCAACGTTTTCGAAACTCGTCACGGGCTACACGGTGCTGCGAAAAGAAAACCTCCGCTGCTTTGCCTCAAGTGGGGGCGCACCAGTCCTAGGCACGACGTGGGGCCTGGCCAGGGCTTGTGGTGGTACAGTCGTCGCTCTCCAACGTACTTGGAAGGCGCGGCTGCAGAAAAGCACGGTGGAAGTGCTGACAAAGGGCCAGCCTGGCCCTGCGCAGCCACTCTACAACGCCCGCGGCGGCCAGCGGCAAAAGCCATCCAAATGGGCACCGCACCGCCACCACCTCTGACCTTCTCCCCCTCCACCACCTCTTCCTTCGCTTACCTTTTACCTCCTCCTCCTCCTCCTCCTCGTCCCCCTGCTTCTGCATCAGCCTTTAATCATTTTCCTCCTTCTACCCCTCCTCCTCCTCCCCCTCCTCCTCCTCCTCCTCCTCCTCCTCCTACTCTTCCTTTCCATGCCCTTCTGCCTCCCCCTCTCCTCCACCCTCCGTCCTCCCTCCTCCTTCTGCTACTGCTCCTGCTCCTGCTCCTGCTGCTGCTGCTGCTGCTCCTCCTCCTCCTTCTCCTTGGTATCCTCTTCATCCTCCCAGCAAGGCCCAAGTGAGACAACTTAGGCAAAGCCCTGAATACCCAAATATCGCACTTGGTTGTATAAATAATGTTGCTCCACCTCTCCTGGTCTCCTTCTTTTTTTGCAGTTCCGGGTAGCGGTTGACACCCAATGCTGGTGGCACAGGCTGCTTTGGTATCTCCTAGCTTGTCGTGCCACCAGCTGCGCTGGTGTGGGACGGTCCAACCTGCATGTTGTCGTCTGGGAGGTTGCTTTGACTTCGGGGGAACAGGCTATACAGGAATGGTGCGAAGGACCTCGTGGACCGACCGCCGCAGGTTTTGGATTATCAGTGCAGTTCGCCAGGAGCTGGCATACCCTGAGCGCAGGCCCCCCCCCCCCCTTTCTCGGCTCAGTTCTCCTTTTGCTACCGTCCCAGCTCCTCCACTCCTCGGGTCCAGTGGAGCCGAGTCGGCATCGGCAGCGCCTGAGGTTGAACGTGAAGGCAATCTGCTTGTCGACGAAGCATCCAATCTTTGGTTCACCCACAAAGCGAAAGTCAAAGAAAACAGTCCTGCTCTTCCATCTCCTCCTCATTCTCCCCCTCATCAGCCTTACTCCGGCCCGCCATCCCCCTGCTCCAGCCAACCTCGCCTCCGTCTTCCCCCTATTTCCTCCTGCTGCTCATCCCCCCGTGCCGACGCCATTCCATTCGGTTCTGGGCAGGGAGGACGCAGAAGGCGGCAACTTCGAGTTCCCGGTACTCGACGAGCACCTCTGAGCAGCGCCTTGTCTAAATAAATGGCTGGGCGGCAGTGGCCGAAGTCCGTGCGCCAGAGTTTTCAAGCCAGGCGCGCCTCTCCCCAGGAAGATCGCCACCGACCCTCGGCCAACACCAGGTGGTAAAAACTACGGCACGCAGGTGGCCAACTTTCCAGCTAGCTCCAACGAGCGTCCAACCTTTGGAAACTTGGCCTGCCGAGACAACCGTGGGACGGCCACGTGGCCGTTGTGGGCGCGACAACGTTCGTTGTAGATTGTGTCAAGTTGGAGCGTACCGTCTTGGCCTGGTTGCCCGTGTTTACCTGTGGGCAGGCAGTTGCGTCTGCCCTTCCTGCCTCAAGCTGCGATGTACATCCCTGTGGATGAAGGCTCTTTGAAGCCAAGCCACAACTTCGTCGCGAGGAGAAGATAGGCCGTGAGACGGCCAGACCGCCGACGCGAGTGCGATAGCAATCGACAAACACGGTGTTTAGTGCGCGCCATGTTG